AAACTTGGATACATAAATCGCCAAGAACTGTGTACGCTTGAGTACAAATCTCATGGCGAAATAACGATCTATCAAATGCCGCGGAAAACGATTTATATCCGGAAGTTTGGCAGCAGAAGGAGTATATCATTTTTCGGGCTGACTGTACATGAAAATCAATTACTTTCCTCTTCTTGAGTAATAATGAGTGTTTTCTTTTGATTCTAAAGGAATTCTATTTATTTATTTCCGTCTCTTAGGCTCTTTCAAACTGCCTCCCTTGACCCTCTTGCAACTGCCTGCAATGTGTTCTATAAGACTATAGCTGAACTGTCGGAGATTAATTCTGCCCAGTTGTTCAGATCCCATGAACTAACCTGATCTCTTCCACCTATAACGTATATTGAATTAAGTTTGAATTACTTTGGTTCATCAGGTTTATTTATTGGCATCAACCTCAATTGCAAGCCACCAGCCTCGATGAATCTATTTTATGCATGAAGTCAGCTTTCTGTCAGAGGACCAATCGCTGTGGAGAACGATTGACTAGTAACCTAACTTAACGATCCGAAACCAAACTCCTGATTTATTTATATGATATAATATAGGTGATGTAATGTAGCGATATCAATGATTTTTTTCCAAAAAAACTATAATTGTTTTGAAGTATTTTAAGGCCAAGCAGGCCGGCCTGTTGATAAAGAAGGCATATAACTTGATATAAGCATGGTTGAACCATGGCATATAGATATGCTTATCAAGAGGCTCATGAAACGTCTAATTAGTCAAAAAAGTGGTGAGTCATGGTGCATTCAAGCATGATGCATCAAACCAAACGCGCGGGTATTTAAAATGCGTAAATATTCGAAAATATTTGATAGTCCCGTGAAAATGTTTAGGTTAGTGAGTAATATCAGATGGTCGGTCCTCTACGAGCGCTGTGCGAATATCATAGGTATCAATTAAAAACTGAATATTATTTTCCCGATCCGGAGTTATTTTGCTGGTTCTTTCAGAATTGCAAGAAGCCAACTATCAGTGAATGAAACAGCGAAACCGTATGATATACAATATTATATAGCGGTGTCAGCGTTTATTACGCCGTTGGCCGGTTACTGATACAGTGATACTTAACATTGCAGAGCATCCACAGCCGGTTGCGGGCCGGAACTCTCAACTCACTGCTTCAAAATTTCTTTTGCTTAACCGCCCGACCTCCTTGCCGATTCTGATCGGAAACTGGTGCAGAGCTGGGATCGAACGCGCACCTCTCTGCTAAAATCTTGGTACTCTAAACTTTAACCACTGGGCCACCAGACGCGTTCTTTACTGTGTATGCAGCATCTATATAGATATGACTGAAGAAGAAGTTTCTCACCGGAAAGAGTTCAACTCTACGAGTAGCATCTTTAAGTGGCCGCAGATAAAAATCGCCGGTGGATTGATTAACTGAAGCAACGAAGTCCATCTTACGAATAGATAGATGGTAGAAAAAATTTGAAATAATGTCCAGAGTCATGCCCACGGATAAAATTTAAAAAGAACGCAGTGCAACTCATCCATGTGTCAACATTTCTTCTCGATGGGAGTCACCGACATGTGGACAGCCTCCACGATTGAGATCGCTTACGCTCAGAGTATGAACGCGTTCATGAACAGACTAAATAAGCTCTGCAGAAGCAACTTTTCAGGTTCGAAATCCCTAGCACCGTACGGATCTAACAATAAGACCAGTAGGTATTGCATAATAACGTCGAAAAAAAAATGTTCCAGAGGCCGGTTTTTAATTCTCCTCAGAATAAGTCACGAAAAGTATAGGAATCAGTAACCAAGTACAAGAATCAGCAATCAGCAACAAATAGGCCTATTTCTTCAGCGTCGCAACCTCTATTCAATGATTGAAAATGCGACAATGGATTAAGTTTTCCTAATTTACATTCGTAAGGAGCTTAAGTTTTCCAAACATTATGAAGCTCAATTAAGTATAGCAAATAAACTACTAAGACTGATCGGACGTTCTTGCAAGTACCAAAATACAGAATCGATGCAGCCGTTGTTTGTCGCAATAATGTGCCCTCTCGTGTGTTGGGAAACGCTATTGTACGTGTTCAACGAAAATTAACACGAAGATGAATGTAATTACGAGTATTTAAAGACTTGCAACAAGAATATATTTAAGTCTAAAGGGCAAGTCCGGCTAATAAATATTAGCAATCATGAAGCTTCCCTTCACTTATTGCAGAAATATCTATAAACAGAATGCAATAGGTGTTAGCCAATCTTTACTTCAAGAAATTAGTATTCAATAAGTGAAATAGGTTAATCAGTGTCTTGTCAATGAAGATCCATTTGGCATTACGTAGAATAATATACTTTGCACTGCTAATACAAACAACAATGTTATGACTGATTGCGACGCTAAAACAAGGGGTACGTGTTTTTTAACCCTGATTCCTGATAAAGTTAATTTTATGTTTGTTCAGTAAAATTCATTTCCATTATGAAAAGCTGGCAATGAGTGTTCTTTGTTCAGATCCTCAGTGGCATTTATTTTCTACAATTTTGCATTGACTCATTTAGTCTGCGTGTGAAATCGGCTAGCGGGTTGCTCACTTGGTTCGGGATTTGGTCGTGGTGCCTCAGAAGTGGGTTACGTTTTTTGATGAAGCCGTATATTCACAGTCTTTTAATGCCTAGCACCTTACGGACCCGGCAGAAATCCAGTAGATATTAAAAAATTAAAAAGGCTGATTTCAGATCTTCTGTAAACAAGTCAAAAAATTACGAGAATCGGCAACTATCCTTGGGCCCTTGGGCCTTTTTATGCAGGAATCAGGACCGGCACAACTATATCAACTTGTCGAACTTTTAGCTGCGAAGCCACGCGCTGTCTGTTCTACAAAAACCAAAACCCCCGAACACAGGTACTCCTCTATACTATAGGGAGGCACGTTCTATCAAACAGTGAATTTTTACAAGCTATGTGTGATTGAAAATATATGCCTCTTTAAGCGCAATGTTGCCTGTTGTTAAATTCGCGGATTTTGTCCCCACCGCGGGATTTTGTGGATCATGTGTTCGCCTCATCATCACCAGAAATTTACGATTCATTACTAAAGCCCCGTTCGAACCGTCAAAGTTGTAAGATGTATGGTGTGTTTCGTTTCGTGAAATAATTTCATATAAGGAAATCGTGAGTATAAATCATCGGAAATAGTATTAAAAGTTGATTTTTGGGGAAATAAGATATTTGTTTGACTTCATAAGAAATACGCGGGGTAGGATAAGAACATGGATTCTAATTCACCGGGGCTTGCGGAGTTAGCAGACGTATTTGATAGTGAAGTGGCCGAAGGACTGAAGGGAACTCAAGTGGGAGACATGATTGAGGAGCTCTGTAGGATGTCTTCGACCTCAGCCGGGCAAACAGAAACGCAGATGGCTACAGTTGGCACTAGTAGATCAGTGCAATCAGATGTTGATATACTTGGAATTGGAGCCTCAGTTGGTGAAGAGTTAGTTTCCAGTATTGAGGGAAATAAAGGCAAGCCTATTGCCAGTGCTAGTCATAGCNTTTGTTCCAGCTAATCACTAATTTAATGGTCATCAACCATCCTTTTGATGCTTTTGAAGCATGACAGTCTTGGCAGGATCCTCCCCATCACATGACTAATTGTAAATGTGACTCCTGTACAGGACCTTTCCAAGATGTGTACAAAATCCCCCAGACAGGAGGCTCCCCTGTTGAGTTTTGACCCTGATGGTAGCAGTCAAGTAGATTAGAAGATTAGCATCAGCAGGTCTTGAACACAATACTTATTTCCCCTGTACCCAAAAAATATGATGCTCCAGGCTGTGCCATCCCAGGCTGGACCATCTGGCCCTAGCTCTCTGTCTAGGTAGACCCTCCAGTTAGGTAAGGTTTACTAACATGCATGTAGCACTAATTCCGGGACCTAGTAGCTGAATGAACTAACAGAACAACATTTCAGATTTGCAAACTTACCGAGGCCTTCGCCCTCAGGTTTGTGCGGCCAAACCCTTGCTGCCTGTCCAGACGTGAGGCGAGTGGTGAAGAACCAAGTCCTCAGAAAGCAGATAGAAGAAGAAGATTCATTACTAATGTAACTGCTACCTACGTAACAGGCCAATTTGAAAGTCGTCAATCATCATTGTTTTACCAATTGTACTGTCATGTGTTAAAAATTTTTCTCTCCAATTTACATATATTGCATATTATATATAAAAATAAAACCCTAACATAGATGATAGAGTTGATAAATAAATCACTTTATGGGTAGGCCTATCATAATCCCACTTTACTTGACTTCAGTAAGTTACGAGTTATGGTTCTTGTAGAAAAACCGCCAGCTTAATCATTTAATGGTTTGTAAATAAAGACGCATACGCATAGAGAACAGTCAGAACACAATGTATCTGTACTGAGCTACTGACTGTACACATTTCTTGTAGGTACAACAGTACACAAGCTCAATTTATAAGATCACAAAAATTCAATTATGTAACTTGTCCTGTCAATAATGACATCACAATACTGCCAATTTTATTTTGTTACTCTGGGGATTTATGGACAGATAAATATTAGCAGAAAATGCATTTGCTGTTACTTGAAATTATGTTCTTGCCTGCTGGCTAATTAACAAGTAGGATGACTACCTATGTTGTAGAGCAGCTAGGGTAAACGCGGTATATTCCGACATCGTAGGTAATTCTGTCATCTCTCCAGCTTTTCCTTTATATTAAGCTTTGTTTTAGTTCCAACTTCCATGCGTTCATTGATGGTTGAAATGGTGACGTCATACATTTGAAAATATGGCAACATTTTGTGACGTTTCATCGTTGCTGACGCGTAGTGAAGTGTTTTGAGAGTCATGTGAAGGCAACAGAACTTACGTAACGCATACGTTTTTTTTATAGTTTTTCATTTCTTGATGCATCCTTAATGTGTCGGAATATACCGCGTTTACCCAAGTTTATTTACTTTTTTACATAGGAAATCAAAAATCATTCCAAATTATAATTATGATTGCTTGCCGAGTGGCAAGACTAATGATTAATGAATAATATCATAAACTTCTTATTGCTCTCAATGCTCAACTAGGAAAAACACACAAGTTGTTACTTCAGTTGCCAGAAAATGAGCTTTGCAGAGAAAAGAGGCACAGGGCTTGAACCTGAGCCTGTTAACCAAAGAAGAGAAAATTTCCCTGCTACAAGGTGAGTTTATGCAAGAAAAAATTCTGCATTCATTTTTCCCAAAAATTTCTAGAATGTACCCTACCGATTATTAGCTTCACCATTTATTTTGATATTATTGACAATCTTTAAAGTAGAAACGTAGAAAGAATTGAAATTTTGTTATGCAATTGGCTAGCTAGCCTTGCTTGCACTTCAGCACTTGCAGGCTAGCATCCTTGCTTTGAGTTCTGATTTTCTTATTCTAATAGGCCTATTTGGCTAATTTTTTATACATTTAATGTTGATTTTCTATTATGTAAAGAATCTTTTGAGTTATAAAGTATTCTTTTTTATTTTCATTTGTATTCTGTAATCTGTTTAACGTGGCGTGGAATACCGTCAAACGGGGTAAAAAGGGACAGGTGGGGTTAATCGGAATGCACATCCCACATTTTGTAGAAATGTTGTAGCAGCTAAACTAATCAAAATATTGCAAAACTAAAAATGGTGGCATAAAGTCGTAAACTTCAACATTTTTACTATCTATTATGTATAAAGCTAGTCTAGAAATCAAACATTTACTATCTCTAAAAAATTGCTGAAAAAAGTGTGAAAAGTGCAATTTTTGAAAAGTACCTCTGCTAAGGTCTGGAGCAAAAAAAAAAAAAAAAGATTCGCCGTATTGAAAAATTTTACTTACATAAAAGTTGCACCCAGGTGTTGGCTTGAAAACTTAATTGATGGAATTTGCCTATCTTGTTCCAAAAAAAAAAATGGCAGCCATTTCCGCATGGTGGGGCTGCTCGGGACACCCCCCCCCGGGGAAATTAGGGACACCCTTAAAAATGTATTTACAGTAAAACCTCAGTTAGCAAATATTCCAGTTAACAAAAAAAATTTATTAACAACAAAGAATTTTGATTACATTTACCTTGCTCAGTGAAAAAAAATTCACTTATTGAAAAATTAGTGCATCATTGGTCGTCACAAAATTGTACATAGAATGCTATATATAGAATTGTGCACCGGGCATCATAGAATGAAAAGTAATTGACCTAAACTATGATTTATTTCTCCAAAACATATGATGATTGTCACTAAAACATTATTTTCTGTTTCAGGTATGTTTTTCACGATCTTTTTTGTTATAGTGAAATCACTTGACTCAATTAAAATTGTGCAAAATTACAAACCATCCTGTAAGCTTACAGATACAGAAGAAATGCTACATGGCTGCTGATATGAAGCTTGAAGTGGACAAGGTCATTGTCAATGCTCAATGGCATGTCCATGGATACAGTAATATCACATTAATAATACGGTAATCAATGAATATGGTAATATAATATCAATAAAGGAAAAACAAGCATGCTTCAAATGTTTCAAATTAACTTTTATTGCAAGTGTCCCAGATTACCCCATTACCAGGGGTAAATTGGGACGGTTTCTTTTGCGTCTGGCACCTTAATAATAGCATATGGAATTTTTTTGAAGATGCCATTGGATAGCCCTTGCAAAGAGCTATAAAATGAGTCTAAACTAGTTTCTGAAATGTTTCATGGTAAGAAGTTATTAAAAAATCGCTCAAAACCGTCCCTTTTTATACCGTTTGACAGTATATCTACCATTTTAGCCAGGACTAAAGTTTTCTCACCATTTGCAGCCACAAGATTCCTGCAAAATGAATTATCTCCTGTCTAATTGTTATTAAAAATTGGTCATTTGGAGTGGCAAGATTTCTTTCATAAGTAGGTAAATTTCAATCCAGCATTTTATCAATATTCTGATGAACACATTTTTTAAATCATGTTTTTTGTTAGCTATCTAAATTTTGTTCAGTATTGGTTGTTGTTCTTTCATGGTTGGTTAAGTTTCACAATCCTAACATACTTCACAGCGATGTCAGCAGAGAGGCCAACTTATCAACATGGGAAGTAAAAAGTATTGTTGGAGGTGAAGGAGGTGGGGGTGGAGGCCTCCAGTCACCATCTTCTCAACAGTTGAAAAGCCATGATAATAGTAAAAAATTACAATCTAACACTCCTACACAACACCTGGTTCATCCTACAAATCCTGTAAACAGTGCTGTCAGGAGCTCCATGTTGCCTGGTAAGAGATTCCTCAATTTACCACAAACTAAAGCTTTAATTTGTTTCAAAAATTATTTCTGTTATTTAGCACTCGCTTCCATTTTAACTAGAGATTTTATGGTACCATAAAATGGGGTAACTTAGACCACTTTTTTTTTTATAAATGATGCCATTTTTTTACTAGCTAAATTAAACTTTAATTGAAACATGCAAAATACAGGTCTATACTCTAGCTTCACTCACCATAAATTGCTGGCTCCTGCCTACAAATAGTTTTTGAGTTGTGGGGGTTTTTGTTAAAAAAACGAAAAGTGGTCTAAGTTACCCCGCCGGTCTAAGTTACCCCATTTTACGGTACTACTGTACCTTGTTTTAAATATGTTGAAAGTAATGGAGTGCAATATTGTGAGTGTGAGGCATGGAGTAATGGAGTGCAGTAATGGAGTGTGAGGCAATATTGACTACTGATCATTAGTGGAGAAATCTTAAACTTTTTAGTAGTATTTATTGTACTTATTTTGTTAATAATATTTATTTATTTATAGCAATTATTTGTGTATCATATTTATTAGTAATTATTGTGATTTATCAATTTCAAGCATTCATGACAGTTGAATTATCTGAAAAAGCACCAATGATCTCTCAGAAAATATCTCAAGTTTATTTTTTATAACTACTATGCCTGCAGGAACAATCTTGCAACCTTCCTACAGTGGCTGGAGTAGCATGCCTCCCCAACCATATAATCCAGCACTTGGCACCTATGGATACAATACCCAACTTGGGAATGAGTCGTAAGTAAATTTGTTCACTGTTAATGACTTGGTCAATTGCTTGGTAAAATTTCTGATTATTATTTTATGATAGACAGTATTGAATTATATATTGACGTTGATTTTCAATAGTATCATTGAGGTGTACATTATCCTGAGATTTATGTTTCTCTTACAGCATTCTGAACCAAATGTACCAGGGAACAAGCAGTTCTTTGAACTTGGTGAGCCTTGGTCTACAGTCTGTGGGCAACTTCACTGGGATCCTCAACCAGTTCTTTATGACCATCCAGAACACACTGTCATCTCTCATGAACCTCTCCATGCAGATGCACTTCATTAAAAACCAGTTTGCCCACGCCATGTCACTGTTTTCCCTCTACCGGGGAGTCAAGTGAGTCCTAGGCAACTCCAAAATTTTGTTGTTCTCAGATTTACTATATGTTTGCATTTTTCATGCAATTTACAGGTTCAAACCATACTTATATTAATTGCTTTACAATTCAAATTGCCTAACAATTCAACGTTGGATAATCATTGGTCTTGTTACTAAGAGGAGTGAAAAGAAAGCTACCATTGAATACATATTTCAATGCTGCTGTTGATAGGCCTGCCAACAAGATGTCATTTTATTTAACTTTTCTAAATATGGAACCAAAATTTCCTCCACTACTATTATTTTGCACCACAGTTGATGCAGTTTGCCTTATATTAAAAGGACAATTGTCATGAAATTCAATGTTATCCCAAATTTTTCGTTGTTGACTGACTTTAAGGGGAAAATGCTTATGAAAAAATAGCACTAACGCAATTGCGTACAATTTCAACATGTGTATTTACTTGATCCCTCAATTCCAACATGACCACTTTTCCCGTGTAATCTTCAAATTCTTTGCTAAATCTCTCACTTGAAGAATATATTTACATTTTGTCTTCTATTCCCATTTAAGTGATGTAAAAAGAGATCAATATGTTAAGTTGATTTTTTTTTATTACTTCGTATATTTCATTGGCCCATCATTATAGAGGACCCATTTTTGTGAATTTTGTATTTATTTAGGGCTAAAATGATACAATGTAGCATGTAGGTAGGCATGAAACAAAGGCTATATTGTGCAGGTGGCTGGTGCTGAAGCTGTTATGTGCTGTGGAGGGCCAAAATGATACAATGTATCATGCAGATAGTCGTGAAACAAAGACTTTTTGTGCTGAAGCTGTTATGTGCTGTGGAGGGCTAAAATGATACAATGTATCATGCAGATAGTCGTGAAACAAAGACTTTTTGTGCTAAAGCTGTTATGTGCTGTGGAGGGCTAATATGATACAATAATTTATGTGGACGGGCATGAAACGAAGGCTATATTGTGCAGGTGGCTGGTGCTGAGGCTGCTGAGAGCGCTGGGGCTGAGCAGCGAGAGCGACGTGGAACGCGCGTGGCGAGAGGCTCAGGCATCCATGCAGCCTACGGTGACAGGTGTCTCAACAGGGTATACATGTTTAAATATTTCATGCTGTTGTGTTTGGTGGACATGTTTAAAGTAGGAATTTCATGCTGATAAGTTAAAATGAGAGATTGAGAGGAAATATTCTTGAGAGCCACAGTTATGCATTAATGTTTGCTAAAAATAGGTTTCTTGTGACGAAACACCACGAAAATGTTTTTTATTTTTTTAACACAATTGATTGACTTGGAGGACATCAAATTCAACTGAGTATCTAAAATGGAACGTCTCGTAACATTAAGCAAGACGGTCTGTGCTACGAATGCAAACAAATTCATAAGTATGAGAAAATATGATTTGCACACGCTTGCTCAGTAGGTAGGTTTGTTGGACTCTTCACAAAATTCCATTGCACTACGAAACCAATTTATCAATGAGGAATAATGAGCACAGTAGCTAGAATATACTCTAAACTGCCTACTATCTGTAAAGTTTTATTTTAGACTGTCAGTACTTCCAACTTTAGCGGCAGGTTGTAATGGGTTGCATCATGCAAAAACTATTTTATAGCCAAATTTTGAACGATTGCCTGCAACGCAGATATGGACTCTCTTCTCGTGAAAATCTGGATATTTTCGTAATTTAAAAACATCCGGTATCAAATTTTTTTACGTAATAGTCTCGTTAAACACAAGTAAACTTCATGAACCCCGATTGAACTTATGAGATGTAATTTTGCACTGGCCTCCTCCACGAACATTATCACTAACGTGACAAGACGTCACACAACTCTGGCCACCAACTATATCATTAAAGCTTGTACGACGTAATACATCTCTCGTCACCAACGTTATCATTAACGCTTGTACGACGTATTACATCTCTGTCCACCAACGTTATCATTAACGCTTGTATGACGTAATACCTACATCTCTGTCCACCAACGTTATCATTAACGCTTGTATGACGTAATACATCTCTGTCCACCAACGTTATCATTAACGCTTGTATGACGTAATACATCTATGGCCACCTACGCTAGCATTACCTTCATTGGGATTGAGCATGTAATAGGGTGAAGCTCGGACATGAATGAGCGCACATCTTGTTTCCTATGGATAGATGCGCCATCTTTACTTTATTGCTTGTTGTTCCAGGTGAGACGTGGCGGCCGTGGCGTAAGGTGCTGCTCACGACGCTCTTTGTCACCGTGCCAACGCTCATCATTTACATCATGGACGTGAGTTGATAAAACCAAATTACCGAGATTCATTTCAAATGATGTTCTGTCATTTTTCACTATAATAATATAATAATAGCGGTTTCAGCGTTTAGTAGGCCGTAGGCCTGTCGCCGATTCTTAACATCGCAGAACATTCACAGCATTTTGAGGTCTCGAACTCGCAACTCACTGCTACGATTCTGCTTTGCTTAACCGCCCGGCCTCCTTGCCGATCCTGACCAGAAACTGGCGCACAGAGCTGGGATCGAACCCGCGCCTCGCTGCGCCAATCTCGGTACTCTGAACTTTAACCACTGGGCCACCCTGCCCACTACACTCTTCTTCTTGGAGGAAATTTATTCTTTACGCTAGTTCCGTATGTAGGTCGAATTTTTTGAGTAGTAGTCGATTGCCTATGAGCGTGAATATTTTGGCATCAATGTCTGCATTTTGTATGTGAACTTAGTCCGTCATTTTCGTCCGGCGTCCATTCGTATACTTCGCTTCACACAAGTTGTCTAGCGCTCAGAGTGTTGGCTCATTAATCAAATGTCTAACTTTCACTGAACTCTATAAAAGAATTTACCACTAACTTACTTTCAACTTTTTTTGTTGTTGAATTTACTTCAGATTTGTTCCGTCATTTCTTTTGATCTTCTGACCACCTTTGAGTCACTGCTTTTCATAATTCCTACTTTAATGTCATCCCGTCTGGCTTTAACGTTCAATTTGTGTGTTGTTAATTTTTGTGATATTAGGACTGATTTCTTCTTCTCAATAATAATAACATATAATAACGAGCCGGAAATTTCATGCTCATATTAAAACTTCTTATTGTATACAAAATCTGAACTTGTATGTGACCACTTGACTTGTTGTCAGGCGTTGAACTCGCCACCTCCTCGGAGAGACAACACCAACGATCCACGCACCAGCAACGTGCCTCCCGGTGCTCAGCCTGCAGCTGCAGATGGTAACTTTACTTCGTGATGTCTATAAATGCTCATCATTCGATAAACATCAGTGAACAGAATCATATTTTGTTGTTCTCACATAACGAAATTATAGCCCCATTTTATCGTGTCATGCTAGAGAGCCTGCCGCCGTCTTCAACCGTTGGGTTTTTTAATAGGTTATGCCGCTGCTAAAATTTTATTGCACTGCTAAACTGATGAATGCTTGGAGCAAAATACCACTTAATGAAATAGAATATAGTTCATTCTTTCATAATTATTATTGTTAGATACGCAGCTAGGTAAGTTCACACTTGCTTCTCTACTGGTGAGTTGATGCCTCTGAACATTGTAGCGAACTTCAACGATGCTTGAATTCTTCGTCTTCTGTTGTAAGTGTTGACATTATTTTGCAGGGCAGTGGTCAGCAACGCAGTCGGGACCTTTTTCTGGATACGGTAACAGCTTTCCCTACTCTTCATACAGCCTGGGTGCACCTCATTCCGTCAACGGCTCAGCTTATCCCTTCGGCGCCACCTCTTCGTACGGCTACAACCCGCCCTTCTCTGGCTCTTCTTATGGATATAATACATCAGGCAATCAATTCAATCAAATAGGCACACCGAATGCATATGGAGGCTATGGAAATGCAATGAACTACGGCTCGTACGGCAACTATGATGGTGTGTACAATCGATACAATTACAACGGAAGTGACACTTATCCTTTCTCTTTGGGCTATGGAGCTGGGCAAGTGACACGTCCCTCGGCGCCTCCTCTACTTCATCAGCAATTAGGCTCTATGAATTCAGGACTTCAGCAATCGGTACCTTTCGTTTCAAATGCCAACTTAACTTCGCAAGTTCTGAGTGAAGACCAGAGAAAGGAAGAAGCGTCTGGAGGGCTTGGAGGTGTCCAAGAAACCGTGCCTTAAGAATATAATTTCCCTTTAGCTACAGCGCAGGATCGCTTCTTACGCATTAATTTTAATAACGCGTTGAATATCAACATTTTAACTTGGATTTTTGGTACTTATACGCTGCGAACTTGGCAAGACATTCCTATTCCATTCGTCATTCGAAAATGTGTACCCTCGCTCAATAACTATTATTAGGGTACGTTAGTTTATGCCAACAAAAACTAATAGCTCGATTTGCTTTTTCATTAATTGCCCTGAAAAGCACTAAGCTCTCTTCATGTGATACGGGCAATTTCAAATATTTGTCAATTCACTTGAGAACTGATGGCCAACTAAGACGCAGCTGAATTTTAAAGGGAAGATCCGGTTAAGCAATATAGCGTCAGCTGGATAGCAAATTGAGACAAAGGCTCAGCTAATTTATTCTTAGACAATCGTCAGCTTGTGTTTTGGGATGGTTTCTGTGATATTTTACTTTGTTATCGTAGTACCTGTTGTAATAATAATAATATATACCTGTGGGAAAGGATTATTGGTTTCCATAATTTAAGACTGTGTCCATGTGCCAATTGTAACGATTACGACATAATTCTGTAGTCAAGACTCTAGAAATTGCTATCTTCATTGGTCACTTATTTGCTTGAAATTCAACATCAAAAACATTTGCATTCCCAAGGTTCTATTGTTGCCAATATGATACATAGTCAAGCATCAGCTTAATTTTATTCTACCAGAAACTACACATGATACTGAAGTGTACATGACATTGACAGCATAAGTGATTTACCGCTATTGTTTGCGGCTCTCTGCTACAATATTTCCAGTCACTGTATTGTTCTGGATGTTACCGTCGCAAGTGAAACCAAAGGTGACTCATACATATAAAGCTTTATTGAAGAACGCAATTTTCAAAAACAAATTTCACGGCTGTTACGGAAAATGGTATTTAAACGAGATATTATACGTTATAATGGTGAAATAGTATTATTTACAAAATTTAACTGTCCACCGACAATAATAGCCCTACGAATGTGACTAATTACACTGTATTCTTTGCATTGCACTTACAAAGGAACCTAATAGTTCTCAAACGCTTGATTCTCAAAAATCTGAGGCAGCTGACATGTTCCAGATGTGCAACAAATTAATGTAAACATCTAATTGAATTTGACCAGTGCCAATGTGGTGGAAAATGAAATTCCAAGCAAAAAGATGATGATCAGTAGCCGTCTACTCTTGACTGCACTGGGTAGCGATCTTCTTTGTTGAGCTCCCCAGCGGCAACCTGCCGCTTGCGCTCCCGCTCCATTGCCTTGTGTCGGTTCCACTGCAAACAACATTATAGTTAATTTCGAGGAATATGCAAACATCCAACTTAATTTTTATTGTAACTTGTATTCACGATGTTTTTTCATGATATTTTTTGGTACCTCAACGGTGTAGATAGATTTGTCCAATTGCCATCTCAAGTGAGACAACTTGTTTAATCATCGACTAAAAGTTAGTAAAACTGATTTTGATGAACTTCCTATTTAGCTAAGAAATGTTTCAAAATAAGAAACGTATGAAGGTAAAATGATGTCTAATTATTAGGAAAGAAACAAAAACCATTATTCAAAAGCAATACAAATTTTGCAGACCATTTCCCACCTCATGACATAGCCAACATGAGGTAAGATCTTATCTTTCAAACTTTCCAATTAAGAGAGAAGCAGTCATCAATAATTACGCTCACAACATACAGTAAAGATAACTAACTAAGATTAGCCAACACATTATCAATGGATACAGAATTAATGCTGCACTAACTTCTTAAGTCATTTAGTTTAGAAAGACATTCGTTCTACTGACTGCCACAAAAATGAAATACATTTAGATACAAAAAAAAAAAACATTTCATAAAAACAATTTTGGGCATGAAATGATATTTACAGATTAAAATGAAAGATGTCAAGTCAAATCTTACAGCAAGAAACTAATAACAAAGGTACTCACAGCTTTGGTAGACAACATGCACTCTGCGAGGTCATCAAAATAATCTTTACATTTTGCTTCAGCTTGGCCAATACCATAGGCTTCAACACACTCAACCATCCTCATTTCAAAGTCACAGCATGTGGTGCCAGACTGATGGGTGAACATGTGTGCACCCAAATCAGTGAGGGGTGTGCGAATAAAGGGATGAAATTTAGTAAGAACCATAACTGCTCTGAAATAGATGAAAAAATTGGACTTTTTTAAATGGTACTCAGAAAGGTTTGATCAGAAAATCTCTAGACAATCAATCAAATTGGAGAGTTAAAAAAATCGAAATGCTTAGCTTATTTTCATCTGAAATAACCTAGCATTCATGCCAAAGAATAAGTTATGGCATGAGCTCTAGCTTTTGCAGCTGAGATATTTCAGGAATATATCTTTTGCTTGAAGCCCAAGCTGAAGATAACAATAATATAATAATAGCCATTTCAGCATTTATTAGGTTGTAGGCCTGTCGCTGATTCTTAACATTGCTGAACATTTACAAGTTGTTGTAGTCTTGACCTCACAACTCTCTGTTCTAAATTTGCTTAACCGCCCGGCCTCCTCGTCGATTCTGACCAGAAACTGGCGTACAGAGCAGTGATTGAACCCTCACCTCTCAGCTCCAATCCTGGTACTCTGAACTGTAACCACTAGGCCACCCTGCCCTTGCTTGAAGATGGTAGTTCTTGGAGTAATATATATTGGAGTATCATACATGTATGGTAGCACCACAAATATGACAGAATACATCTATTTTTTAAAAAGTTTATCAGTTTATAATGATTATATAAGAAATAAGTGATACTTCCCAAGAAACTTGTGTCTGAGCATAAACTATTTTTATCTCTGCTGCTGCAACTTTTTCAAATGAACTGCAACTCACAAATGAGCTAGTTTGATACCAAGTTGCATTGAAATTTGCTAGTGCACAAACAAAAATTTTAAATTTAGTTGCTATTTTAATTACAAGAAATCTTATGAAACAATTCATCTTCCCATGTAGGCTGCTAACAAGATGCTAAAACAGTTGGAACTATCTATAAATTTTTGTAAGAAATTCAACATTTTTGTGGTTGAAGAAGCCTAAGTTCTACCTTGATACCCATCCCTGATGTTTGTTTAGGGCTATTGCAACAGCCACGCTGAAGCACAACCTTTGATCCCAAATCCCAATTATATGCTGTCAACCCACAACTGCGAAAAATGAACTGCTTCCCAAGACCCAAACTTTTTGCTTCTCATCTCTGTACTACCACTATGTACCAGTGGATCATACAGATAAGGCTGCACTTTCTAACTTTTTTTGCACTATTAACACTAAATTTATTCATGTTTTATTTTATACTTGATGCAAAAATGAAAGCAATAGCATTTTCAGGTTAAAAAATGTCAAGGGCTTCATGCAGAGAACAGTAGAATAATGCTGTAGCTGAACACTAAACAGGCCCTATATATTCATAATGCAAAGGAAGCGCTGAGATTCTAAATACAATATACAAGAAATAAAAGAAAATATACATACACAATACAAAATATAGGTGATGATTATATACACAATGATTGAGTGGATCCATAAATCAATTCATCCAATATTTAATTGGATCTACTGGTTGGATCAAACTAGTTGATGGTGCAAAACAAAGCTGTGAATGTCTTTTAGAGGGGTTTTATCAGTTTTATCAGATACTTGGGGCCTTTTAAAGATTCCTGAAATTTGGAAGGCATGTACAAAAAACTATTTTTTTTTTGTGTACCATCTTTTTAAAAAATATGGATATCAACAAAACTTTTTTGCTGCACAGCCTGCACTCTATGATTAAACTGACAAATGCGGTTCATACTGTCATAGAAATAAATATCTTGGAGAAAAATATTGGGTGGTTATAAATAGCGATTCTTTTGTTAATAACTCTTTCATTTACAGACAGATAACTTTGAAACTTGGTACACATGTGTAAAACAGAAATCTAAGACTTTTTTGTTCATGTAATTTCTTTGGAAAAATGAAAGAGAAGATGAAATTCTTGAAGAACAGCCAAAAAGGGGTAAGGTACTGGAGAAATCTATCTCCTCCTAGGATATTCAAGCTACAACATTGAGACAATCATTTGATGCGTAAAGAACATATCTATCAATAGATGCAGGCTTTTTTCAAAATTCTCATTTTTGTGGGTGGGGGGGGTCATTTTTTGTCAATTTTTCGATTGCCCCACTCCCCCATTTGGAAAATATAATCCTAACTATAACGAAATTACACAAAAGCTACCACCATTCTCTAGATATTTTCTTTCCCAATCAAATGGTACATCTCTCAATGATGTAGCTTGAAAACTGTAGGAGATAGGTTTGTAGTGAGAGCAGGTGCATGTTTTCAGGACAGCCAACAGACCTCCCACTGGGTTACTGCACTCTAAATATTGGGATTTATTGTAGCTAGTACAATAAAGATAGTCAGTCAGAGATGCACAGAATAATTGCATGAACACATTCCCCCATGATAGCTTGGGGGTGACTGAAGCTATACCCCAACAGAGCCACACTCAGGATGATGCATGTTTTTGGTGAAATTTCCCGTGCATTATGAGTTTATGGAAGCCATAGGATCACACAGCTGGCGCAAAATAATTAAATTTTTTCTATCTTTGTGCAGGTGTGGCACAATCCTGGCCATCAGTCTACGCCGCACAGGAGCAGTTCTTCAAGGAACAGACAAAATACTCAGTACAGTATGCCTTTAATTATCCTTCAATAATATATATTTCTTGATACAGAAATTTGGTGAATGAGAAATATAGAACTTTATTTTAGAAGAAATTTTCTCCAAATTCAAATGATAACACGGACACCGTCTGTTTACATTCCGTGTGTTTTATAGCTGCAGTTGACGATTACCATATGTTCCGTATTCGATAAGCGGAAGAGTCAGATGTAACCCAAACACATCATAGTTCATTATAGTTGGTTCGACTTGCGTAGTTGATATAAACTTTAATGACCAATGAAATATAACTTTTTAATAGGGAGATTTCATATTTAATTAAACTACCTACAAGTAATAATCTTTACTTAATTATAGCCATGTCGAAATTTTTTTTTTTTTGTTGCGAAGCCCGCTTCTTAAACTGAATCGACACTTCTCCGGACCCACCTGCAAACTTGCCTGTGGACTCAAACGCAAAATTAGACGTTCAACTCACCCAACCATAAATCCATCAATACTGAACAGATTTCATTCAAATTAAAAAAAATAAGTAGATATTACCAATGCACTGCAGACAGAATTAATTGAGATATTTACATCAATTTGTTTTTTATTAATACGGAAAACCTTACTTCATGTTCAACTCTCCTAGCCATAAATTCATCAATACTGAACAGACCTCATCCAAATTTAAAAAATAAGTAGATATTACCAATGTGCTGCGGCCGGAATCTATCAAGATTTTTACATCAATTCGTTTTTTATGAATATGGAAAACCTCACTTTATGTTCAACTCTCCTAGCCATAAATCCATAATATCTGATTTCACTTTGTGAAAGATCTCAGTCCAGCAATGTAACTTCTTGTAATATTGTTGAGATAGGGGATTTTGTACAAATTCATTGCAATCACCCTTGTGTACTTGGGAAATTAGGAAGAGTAATTCCTTTGATTGTTGGTAACTTGGTAACAATAACCTTGTTCGTTCTGTAGAATTAGTTACAGACTCTGGAAGGAAATTTGCAGAGATCAATTTCTTCTTGAATATTTTGTATGACATAGTCTAATTACATTCTGTAATTATGCCATATTGACTTAATGTATATAGTCCATTTATGCACATTGTTATTAGGTATTGATTGTGTCTATTGTGGCTGGGAGGATGTCAGGAAAAGAGTCCTGATGTTGGTGTACAGGTTTGTACTGTTGATGTACAGCTGACTACTTACCGCAGCCAGTCAATCACTGGAAGGCAACAATGGCACATCTCAAGCAATGTCGCCTTCTTTAATTCTGTGATTCATGTCCGCTTGAATTGTGATCTATGAAAGAATCTTCCTATCTGGGTTGATGTGTTTGCAATCTAGTCAACTCATATCCAACACAATGCGGATATATGTTTGTGTTAACGGTGTGTGATAGCATTGTTGCACGTCCATATTTATACTATTTTAGCCTTTTAGGAGTACGGCCCCAGGCGCAGGGCGCATTTTTTTAGTGGCATAGTACGGCATAGTACATTAGTATTTATTTAGTGGCATAGTACATCGTTTAGGGTGATTGAATGACAATTTAAATTCCTGTGCACCTGGCACATCTTCTTGACCATGGCAAGTTGGCAACAGAGCACACATATTTGTGAACGGAACTAATTTTGCCCTTAGGCAATTGTGACGGCTCTGCGCAACGTAACCCTTTAAATATCTGTAGTATCTGTGTAAATATCTTATATCTTTGCAGCTTTAGGATGAGCATAAAAACCGGAAAAGCCAAAATTTTTTATTTTGGATCCATATTCTCCCTTTAAAACATAGGGTAAACGCGGTATATTCCGACATCGTGGGTAATTCCGTCATCTCTCTAGTTTTTCCTTTATATTAAGATTTGTTTTAGTTCCATGCATTCGTTGATGGTTGAAATGGTGACGTCACACATTTGCGCGTCGAACTAATGCCAAAACACTAGGTCTTGGCCACCTAGCAGGAAAATATTGAGATCCAAAGAGAGACAATGCACGCTACCCAGTGAGATCATCGAAAAATGTGTCAAATTTGACAGTTGACCTTGCTCTACCAAATAGTGAATAACTGTTTGTATGGGAAGAATATTATGGTTTGAGACTTTTAAATACGTCTGTGAATATATTAGGAATCCTTTAAGTATACTTGTATTCGCTGATTTTAAGTGGTAAATAAATTAATAGATGATCAAGTTGAGAAATGGATTTAGACACATGAAAACTAATTCCGTCACAACTTGAATTGGACTTAGACAGATCGTTTCAAGCTATGTACAAAAATTAAAATTTGCTTAATTAAAAGCTTAATAGTTGTTAATTAAAAGCGTTATTAAGTAGTGTTCAATATTCATTAGTGTTCTAATTCAAAGCCGTGTTGTATTCCAATACAGCTCACACAGCGAACGGAATTTGAACACGTGGATGACGGCATTACGTATCAGTAGAATTTGAAGCGCGGACGGAATACGCCTCACCACGTGCCGAATATTGCCAC